CTCACGGTTGAAAAACACTGATCTAGAGGAAAGGAAGCTGAAGGACATGGAGCAGAAGCCACTTCTCGCTCTTGAGCATCAGATGTTGCATGGGAGGAGGGAGGCCACAAGGGGGAAATGGGAATGGTCTAAGCAAAAAAAAACAAAACCCTTTAGAACTCATCTATTCTTTAACAAAAATATGTGAGTAAACTCTGGCTGACCGTTCTCTCACGCTACCAACCTTCTGACCAAGGTTGAGGAGGCAGCAGATCCCATCTGCCAAATTCATGCAAGCGTTGCAAGCCCCAATGATAAAAATGCCCCAACTCTCATAAGCAATCCTGAGAGCCATTTCAACCAGTTTTTTTTTTTTTAAAGATCTATAACTTGAATTTGAGAAGTCCATGGTGCCATCTAGTGGAGATACAGGCACTGGTTTGCCAATTTCCTTTAGAAAGGTTGATGAGAAGATTGAAAACTTATCTGCCCGTGCTACCGATGTGTAATGAGACCCTAAATGTATTTCAGCTGGCTATTCCCATCATGCAAAACTTGGGAACAGGGAAGCAGAAGTTCTGAATTACTTCCATGCTATGCAAGTCCAGCCTTGCCATAGTTCCAAAGCAACCAGGGTTGACCAAGACTACACTTTATGCTTGGGTGTGTTCTCTTAATTGGGCCTGCTTGGCCATGGTTATAACCCTTCCAAGCGCCAAAGGGGGACCATTTTCCTGCTTCAGATGTCCATGTTTGGTGAAGAGTTTTCCTTGCTAGCATAATTTTAAAAGTCTGGTCCAGAAGTTTATCTAAACCTATTGATTCCATGATCATAAAACTTTCTTCTCCACACTTTGAATTCACACTGGACAAGCCCTGGAGTACTCTGGCCTATTGCAAGATGGAAATCAATGAATTATGCAAACAGTGGAGGCTTTCTGAAGTCACTCTTACTTTAAAGCTCAAATTGATGTCTGGATGGCGGTCATTTCAAGGCTACTGTGGTTATCCATATAAATGTGATAAATAAATAAAATCTCAACAGCGTCTCCACCTTCTTGAGCTCTTACCCTGCTTCTCTCTCGCAGTTTCACAATGAGCCAAAACTTGGTTACTCTTAACTCTGCCTGCCTGCCCCCCACTGAGGCAGGGACACTGGGGTGCTAATATGACTAAATTAATTCCAGAATCAACGACACATGAACACCCAGTGCGGGGTACATTGTCCTGGGATGGCAGAAAGCTCCCAATGAAAAATCTACATTCGTGAGAGATGCAGTTAGTATTTACAAAACAGTGATAGTGATGGTGATGCGAAAGGGGTGGTGCCATCCAGCCCTGTTTGACTCAGCTTGCCCCAAAAGACAGGGCCTTTAGCCAACAGGTTGCTAAGCTCAAGATGGAAGCCATGGATGTGCAGTGTCCCCGGGTGGGGCGGGGGGGAAAGAAAGAAATGAATTTACACTGCCTCGTGGCTCCACCTCATGGAACAAGACTCCTTTCAATCTGACTGCAGTGATTTGTTAGTCCTTGAGTCTGCAGGGCTCCTGGAAAGAAGAGAAATGGTGCAAGGTTGATCTACCTTTTGCATTGTAAAGGCTTGGTTAAAACTCTATTTTTTTTCCAGTACAGCAACCAACAGAATGTGGGAGAAATTCATTCAACTCCTTTTCTGAATGGATACACGGACATCTGGTTCTTCTTCACAAGTTCCAGATTCCTGAATTTTGCAATACAGCTCCGTTATTTATATTTTGTTTACTCATTCATCTGTTTAACTATTTACTCTTTAAAAAAACTATATTCAGGAAAAAGGCGTGTAAAAATGTGGATTGTTTTAAAAGTGAAAAGTAACATTCAGAACAAGCAAAATTGCTGCATAAACTGGGGGTGTTAGATGAAATGGAATTTAAAAGTATACACTAGAAAAAAGGAATGGTGGTGTGAATTTTAGAAGGATTTCAATATGTAATATTTGATTTTTAAAAAGTCTTCAAATGCAGCATGTTCATTCATATGCTCTTAGGTCTTCGGCATCACACATAACCTTTTATACAGGTAGTCCCAGTTTAAGAATGAGTTCCGTTCCCAAGTTCTGTCCTTAAGTCGAATTTGTATGTAAGTCGGAACAGTATTATTGTACAATACTGTATAAGTAGTATTGGGTAATTAACTCAAACCATTGTGTATTTAACTTGAATTTTGCTATAATAGGCTCCGTTCTTAACTATGGATCATCCTTAAACTGGGTGTTCTTAACCTGGGGACTACTATGGATTTTCTTTTTAAACATAAAATTCTGACTTAGAATTCCCAACACTGTCAGATTTAGCAATTTTACTGGATGAAATATCCTGGAGCTAACCTATTATTTACCATGAATAGAGCTTTCTCTCACCTTTGTTGCAAATGGCACTCTGGTGCAATTTCACCTCCTACTCCTCCACGGGTATGGTACAGTTTTCCTTATTTTCTGACGGGATGGCGAGGTAGTTGGTACTACGGAATAAAAGTGACATGGTGCTGTTGAAGAAGGACTCTGAATACTCAAGTCTGCATTTAAGAAGCCCCCGGTACTAGGTCCAGCTAGATGGCATCATCTGGGTGACCTTGTCTGAGCTAAGCAAGGAGACCATCAGAAAGTACCCAGGCTATTAGCTAGACTGGAAAGTTGGGGAAAAAATCTAGGAAAAGTCAGTGGTGTAGCTTTGCCAAAGCAACTACGGAGATGTGTCCATCAGATTACAGGAATCAAGCTTGATAAAAGAATTCAATTTTTTTTAATGCTTTTACTGGTTTTATTGTTTTTACTGTCATTTGTGAGCTTCCTAGGGTTATGTTGCATCAAATGGGTGGCTATATAATTTTTTTAAATGAATAAAGAATTGGTATTAAGAATTGGTATTATTAAGAATTGGTAAAGCAAAAGTCTGGCATGCAAAAGATCCAGTATTTTATCTCTGGCATTTTGGTTATTATTATCAATAATAATAACACATGTATTAATTTTTAATTTTTAAAATGTAAAATAAGGTTATTTCTTAAATTATAGTCCAAGGCCAAACACACAAACATTAAACCATATATAACAGTTACAGTGCATATACAGTTTATACAGTGTATAAACAAGTTGCAGGAAAGCCCAAAACTATCAAAATCAGGAGAAAGGCACCAGTCAATTTTTATAAGCTAAAGCTACAGGTAGAAGTTTTGCTGTTGCCCTGGATGCAGGTAAAATTTGGTGATTTAAAAGAAAAACATGGATCTCCTTGTTGTGAGAAAAAAGAACATTTCTGACAACTGGAGTTACGAGTTCTGACTGCCATTGTGTAGATCAATGTTTCTTAACCTTAGTGACTTTAAGATGTGTGGACTTCAATTCCCAGAATTCCCCAGCATTTCTGTTTTCTTTTCTTCCTGTTTGCCTCCCAAGATGCCCAGATTTTCCACACTCACGGATTTTCCTGGACAGCCTCCTCTGCTTTGGAGACTTTTCTGTAGCAGTAAATCATCTCGATCAGGAGCCACAATGTGAGGAAGACCAAGAGAATATACATCATTATTTCAGAGATGACAGATGTTAAGTCTTCTCCAGCTGTAGAGGAGATAAAAAAAAAATGAGATAATTCATAATCCAAACCCCCTTTGTGAGATCAAGTGCATTGAGCTTAACTTTGCAGGCAAATCTTGGATGACACTGAGCTCTGGAATTTCCTGTATCTTCCACGGAAGGATTGTCATGCAGAAACAGAGACACCAGCTTTTCTCACTTAGCTATTAAGTTTAGTAAGTACATCCAGTCCCAGGTATATTTAGAGAGCAAACACTGCTACCTAAAAAAATTCCTGCATCTTGCACTTGGGAACCTTGCATCCTTACTGCTCCAATTCACCAGTTGGCTCTGCAAACCAGTACAGATCTTGTTCCACTCCCAAACTGTACCACTTCAGAGCATTTGAACTTTTAATCAGCTCTTCTGCAGGACAAGATCCAGATTTGTTTTGATAGTCTAAGTCTAGCAAACTAATAAAAATAACAACAATAGCCCTTGTTATTGCTGCTGTTATTTTAATGTATAAGCTGTCATTCTACCATAATAGAAAACTAGGCTCGAGGAAAGAGAACATAGGAAAGAGGAGAAGGCAAAATATTCCTTACAGCCTAAGCTGAAATGCACATTATGATCGACTACTTCCTCCCAGGCATTTAAACAACCAACCTTTGGAGAAGCAAGAGTGTGGCTGAATGAAAAATGATTCCAGATCACCATTAGAACTGGGGAAGGAAGCCAAGATCCACTGTTTCATAAATGAAGTAATGTTGCTACCCTTCCCACTTGCGCAGTCTTGGCCCTGATATGGCTGATAGCCACACATGCACAGTAGGTGCCTCCTGGGGACATCCTCCATAGCTCATGCGGGTACATGCACAGTCACTCAGGCAACATACTTCACTGGAGAATGAGCACCATGTCTACGCCCATCCTGGCACCTGATCAGAGACTCTCCTTTGTTTCTGTTCTTTTACTTTCCCTTCCGCAGCTGTTCTATAATATGCTGAAGAGCAGGAAACAGAACCACAAAGAAAGGAAGAAAACTGAGGGATCTTTGCAAGGAAAGAAAACAGAGGGAACAGAACACAGAGACGGTGTTGTGGGGGAAAGAGCTGTGGGCAAAAAGGAAGGAGAAAGAACAACATAGTACAGTGTAAGGGAGGACTCATCACAGAAGGAAGCCTCAGCGTAACTCTGCTCGCAGGGAAGAGCTCAGTAAACTAGCTGAGAATGGTCTGTGGATAATGACCTCCAGAGGATCCCAATTTGTCAGTTACATCTCACTCAGAGGGGGCACTAAGCTAAAGGCAAAACTGGGGTCATTGGAGGCGGGG